CTTTGTTTGGTGTTAGTTGCAACAAATAGGGTTTCGGGATGATCTCCCGTAGCTTATCCTCTCCTTGCGGTTCTTTAGAGCATAAAAAGAAATAGTGTGAGAAAGAAAAGAATTGACACGTCTTTCTTTTTAATAACCAACTTAGCTCAACCTCTCTTAACCCATCCACAATTACTCTATCTTGACTTGATTACATATCACTTCTCCTCACCTAATAATAATAATAATAATAATAATAATATATTATTATTATTATTATTATTAAACAATATATTATATTATGATTTACAAATAATTTAATTAAAACAAATATAAATGTATAATTTCAATATCAAAATTCTCTATATTAGCCCTTTAATTTTATAATAAAAATATATAATTAATTTAATTACAAAAAATGCATGATTTTTTTATTTTTTTCATCAAAGATAAGAGGAGAAATTCGTGAAAAATTTGTTTCGACTTTCATCTGTCCATGTTTATAAGAATCTTAGATCTTGATATCATTGATTTTCTTTTATTTATGTTTTATAGAGAAACATTTTCAATATGAGCTTAATGTATTTTATTTATGAGATATAGAAAACTATAATACAAAAAGTCAAATATTAATAGTATCATCTTCAATCTAAAAAGATAAAACAAATTATACAATAATCAAAACAAAATGCAATTATCTTTAAATCTAAATATTTGAAACATCAATAATAGATTTCTAAAATAATTAAATTATTATTTTTGAAAACCAATTACCAATTTTTGTATACACACTTTGTCAATTGATTGATGACAATAATAATCAATTATTTTAATGATTCTTGTTTTAGTATTGTTGAACTTTAGTCTAGTTTTGCAAGAAAATAAAAAGATAAAAAGTTAACATTTATTTATTTCTCTCTTACCTCATTTTCATCTTATTAAACCTACTCTATGTGAGTCTTGTATATGAAAAATGTTCCTATTTATAAATATTGTGTCCACGAATATCATCTAATGTATTTTATGAAAAATCACATCATTTCAAGAAGTATTTTTTTTAACAAATAATCATATAGTTTTAATTTGTATTTTACAAAAGGATATTTTATTTTAATTCACATCACTACAAAAAAATGTTCCATATAGTGACATACAAAAAGTGTCACTATAGGTATAATATATGTAGGTATATATCTATTTGACATATAGCTATATACAATTTTAGTGTTGATTTTGAATGAGATTTAACAACATATTTTGTGTGTCACTATAGTCTATACCTACACTTTTTAATAATATACCAACATATATTATATTTATTGTGTAGGTAAAAGTAGTTTTTTGTAATACATATTGTGTCACTATAGGGTATCTATCACTATATGACAATTTTCTTGTAGTGCATTTTCCATAAATAGTCATGATCTTGGCTAATGATGTGCATATATTCTACAAATAAATATGTTATTTGACTTGTTGATTACTCTTGACTCTTTTGTAATACTTCACTATCTAATTCATTAAGATATAAAAAAAAAATATGATTAACTTAATTGGTAGCATTGAACTTGTCCTAAATTAATATTTTTTTTTCTTCCCAAAACTATCCTTAAAATTGATGAAACCCCTGCAATCTACTAACTACTTAAATTGAGAGAAATGTGTTGGTTTTAGTTTTAGGATAAAAAAATATATTTTTTAATATAATTCTATTTTCAATGCAAAGCATACCTTGAAATATTTGAATAAAAATCACGCCCGTGATTTTAGGAGTTACTATTAATAACTAAAAAATAAAATTTGAAACTAACTATTCCACTAGCTCAACAATAACATATGTATATCAACATTTGACTTATTCAAACTAAAATCAAAACTACTTTGATAACATTTAAAGCTACATTTCCAATACTCTTCCTTGCCTTGGAGGTTGCAAACTCCTATCTTCATCTTTCAAAATCAACCTATTTATTTACAATGACTTGGTGAAAACACCAATAATCCAATTATGTTCTAGATGACTCTTCTCTTGTTGACATATTATTGCATCCCTTTCATATGATTGGACCTTAGAGTTTTCAACTTTCAATTTCTTAATCAACTTTTTAATTTTAAACATCATTGATAATATTTTTATATCATAACTTCATATCTTTGATTCAACAACCTTCAACTCTTAAATAATAGTTTAAATACTTGTCATCGTGCTTAATTTCTACAATTTTCCCCTTTATTTCGTCTTTTTTCTAGCTAAAGTTTCATAAACCTCTTTTTTTAAAGCATCTTCTTTTAACCTTACCATCTTGTTTGTGCACTCCTAAACAATAATTTCTTTCTCTAAAACAAATTTTGCTTCTTTAATGGCGATATTATACTTTCACTTCTACTCATTTGCCTCCTATTTAGCCAATTGGCTTGTTCTTTTGTTGTTGCCAACCTTACTTTAGCATCACCATTCTAGGACTTTGGGGTTACTATTTAAAAACTAGCTTGTGCTTCTTTAGCTTCTTGCCTCTTGTGTCACAATTTAGTCATATCTTCTTTTATTAAAAAAAATAACTTGCTTCTCTTCCTCTAATGGATTTAAAGCAAAATTTTCCCTCTCCTTTTTAATTTGAAAATATCTTTGTCATTTTCATCTTTAATTGAGCAAGTTTTGTTTTCAAACAACACTTTATATCCTTTCTCAACTTGTCCAACACTCAACAAATTCTAATCAATTTAAAGAACATACATCACATTACAAATGAACCTTGTAATTGAGTAAGTTAAGATTGTAACTGTTCCTTTTCCATTCACAACAATGTTCTTGCCAAACTTGAACCTTCAATGTGCTTGCATTGTTTAGTTCCTTGAATAGATTCTTATTGTTTTTCATGCGGTTAGTACAATCATTGTCAATAAGTCAATTTTCATTTGATTCCAAACTAGAAAAACATGTAGCAACAAATGGTAGTTCTCCTCTTAATTAGCAACATTTTCCTTTTAACCATGTGGTTGATTCCCGTTTATGCATATAACAACTTCATGCCTAATTTGATTACACTCACTACACTTAGCATTAGGTCTTCTCCAATATCTTAATGAGGGATGACCCTTATTTCTGTAGTATTGACACAATGGATATCTTGATCTACCTTATGAACTTCCTTTTTGATCTTCACTCCATTTATTTTTCTTTTTTTTTTGCTCTTTAATTGATCTACAATTTCGCCTACAAAACTCCTTCAATTCTTCTTTCATGACTATGAGTCTTCTTTGCTCTTGAATTTATAAAGCACTCAACACTTCTACCAGATAAATAGTTGTCAAATCTTTAGATGTTACTAAAGAAGAGATTGTGGACTCAAATCTTTCAAGAAAAGTAACTAGAATTTTCTGGACAATTCTAGTCTTCAAATTTCTGGTCAGACAATGTAACTCAATTTGTAATGTTGAGAAGTCAATCAAAATACTCTTTCACAATTTTAGACTCCATTTACATTTTAAAATTCCTAATCAAGTTGAGAGCTTTCATCCCTATGACCCTCTTATCTTCTTCATATTCCTTCTTGAGAAAATCAGAAATCTCTTTAGTTGATTTCAACATCGTGATTCTAGTAAAAATTCCTTAGTGATACATCATTGAATAAACACGCTTTGGCCTTTTCTTTCCTTTGCTTATGCTCTTTGTAAATTTTAATTTGAGAAATTGCAGGGTTGTCTGGTAATGGAGAAATTGCATAATCCTCCTCCATGCCTTCCCAAAGATCTACAATTTCTAGATAGGATTGCATCTTAAGTTCCCAAACTTAGTAATTTTCTCCATAAAAACTAGAGGCGCAACAACTAGGTTTTCAATTTGTATATTCATTATGAGTTTTAGAGTTTATATGGTAGGCTCTCAATCTAAAGAGGTCCCTCAAGAAGAAAGACTCTTAATACCAATTGTTGGTTTAGTTTTAGGATAAAGAAAGTAAGGAAGCAACATAACTCTGTTTTTCATTGCAAAACATATCATATTTTATTGAAAATGACTTATATTTAAATACACTAAAATATCTAGATAAAAAAATTAAAAATCATGCTCTGTGGTCTTAGAAGCTACTACTAATAAATGAAGAATAAAATCTAAAACTAACTAATTTAAATACACTAAAATATCTAGATAAAAATCATGCTTCATAATCTTAGAAGTTGCTACTAATAAGTGAAGAATAAAATCTAAAACTAACTAATCCACTAATAGTACAATAATATTTTTTTTATCATTGACTTATACAAACCAAAATTAAAACTACTACATCATCTAAAGACACATTTTCAACAAGGATATTTCTTATAAAAAAATAATTAATTCAAAACGTATTTTAAATTTCTTTCTTATTCATATGAATTACAATAACAATAAAAATATTCAAACTTAGTATCTTGTACAAATTATTCCAACTATCCACTACTTATTAATACAAAATATAATTTAAATTAGTTCTTATTTAAGGACTAAATAACACTTTTAATTTAAATCTTAAAAAAATAAGAGAAAGTATTAATGTAAAAAAAAAAGTTTTTCAAGCACAAGACAATCCGCAATTTAAGTTAAATAAAATGACTCTTTCATTGAAAATACCTCATAAACTTACAATGATGTTATAAGTCACAAAAGAAAAATACTTTTTTTTTTTTAAGAATCACATTATAAATAAATTAAATTATAACAATATTTTTCTTTTGATATGCATAGAGTACAATTTTAAAGAGAAAATGACAAAGTAATTTAATCACCGCTCTTAGACTATGCTATAATATACATTCAAATCTTTTCTAAATCTTATTTTTCTAGTGTCCATTTATATCCTTTTCCTCTTATTTCTCTCTCTCTCTACTTTGTCAGCAGCAACTGGCAAGTTGCCATAGGACATGTATAATGTATTTGAGTATCTCCTCCTCTCCCACATTACATAATTGCAACTTCCTCTGAAAGTGCCTTAACTCTTATTCCTTCTGGACTCATTCCCTACACCTTCATGCATAAGGAGAAGCTTACTCCTGCTGGACGCACTCCCTACACCTTCATGCATAAGGAGAAGCTACTAGTTTGATTCTTACTTTATCATTTGATTTGCTGGCACCTTCTGCTTCACTGGTTTCCCTCTCACTCTACTTCATCATGCCTTTATCTTCCATCACCATCTGCATCACTTTTTTTCCCTCCCCAGATTGAGTCTTTATTATATTTTCTTATTTTCCAGGGGCTGAAAAAATGGGAGAAAGTGCTTTGTTCTCTGTGTAGAGTTTGGCAGAGAAAGATAACATTTTTGAGTCCTTTATAATGCCAGTTCCACTTGCCCCCTACCCAACACCACCAGCTCCCTATACACCACCAGCTAATGGTATCTTGTCTTCATTTCTCTCTTCTCTCTTGGTTGACAAAAAGAAACAATCTTACCATCATCATTGCTTTATGGAGATGGAATGATTGGAGATTTCAATTCTCAGTTCTTTTCCACCATTTGGACAAAATTATAAATTTGAACATAAAACTCACAATTAAAAGGAAAAAAAAATAAATCCACTTTCCTATTTGTTTAAAGGAGAAATGGTGGATTGGATATGAAGATTTTTGAGTGAAATTTCTCTGAGACTCTGATTTCTGTGGAATGTGTGGATTTGAGTAACCGGTGATGTGCTTTTTTAGTTGCAATTCTTTGAAATAGTCCAATTTCTCATCTGGGCTGACTTACCATTTGAAAACTGAACATGTCTATCAGATAGGTTAAATGATAGAACTTTTAGCATGTGCTTGTTTATTTGATAAATCAAATTATTTCACATCAAATGTTTATTGATGCCAGGTGCACAGAGTCAACTTGTCTGTTCAGGGTGTAGAAACCTTCTAGTCTTTCCAGTTGGAGCCACCTCAGTGTGCTGTGCAGTTTGCAATGCAGTCACAGCAGTGCCGCCTCCTGGTATGATGCAGTTTCTCCTAAGTCTATTTTTCTCTACATAACTCCCCTGGTGTGTACTGTGTAGGCTATTTGTAACTTCAATTTTCTACCTATCACTGTTTTCAATCAACTGATCATGAGGCAGCTAAATCACAAGCACTTATGTGTGTGCGACAGGCACAGAAATGGCCCAGCTAGTTTGTGGAGGTTGCCATACTTTACTCATGTACATCAGGGGAGCGACAAGTGTCCAATGCTCTTGTTGTCACACGGTCAATCTAGCTTTGGAAGGTATTATACTATTAATGGACTCTGAGGTTTAAAGAATTGTGTGTGTGCATGATGGACATTGGACAGACATTAAGACATGTTTCTTTTGTGAGCTAAATCAGTATGATTTAAGTCCCTATTTTGTGGGTAAGCATCAAATGTGTATTGTGACAGCAAATCAGGTGGCACATGTCAACTGTGGGAACTGCAGGATGCTACTCATGTACCAATATGGAGCAAGATCCGTGAAATGTGCAGTTTGCAATTTTGTAACATCAGTTGGGGTCAGTATAATCTCTTGTTTCTTATTAAGAGTATGTTTGGATAAACTTGTCAATAAACAACTCATAGGAAAAGAAAATAAGAGGATAAAAGGAATTGAGTTTCTCAAATAAGTTAAAATCAACTTCTGCATTTAACTTTTGTTGAAGCTTTTTCATTATACTTCTCCAAAAGTCAAGATAAATAAGTTGATTGTAACTTAAAGAAAAATTTAATGCATTTTACCTTCTTATTTTCTTTTCTGATAAGTATTTAGATAAAAGTTTATTCAAACAAGGCCTAAGTAGATTTCTTTATACCGTCTTTAATCAAAATCTTATTGAAAAGGATCTATGCGGTTGTGTTTTTGTAGAACACATAACTTTCCCTCTATTAGTTTTGGAACAGTAGAGATAGACCATTATTTTTTAATTGGTAGCAAATAAGATCAATTTTTTTTTTTACTTAATAAATAGAAGGAATGAAAATAGAGGGTTTTTGTCCAATTTGAAAAGTGTTTTTATGGATGAGCAGAATCTAGAACTCCAGAATTTTCTGATATGAGCAATGATTTACTCCAGAATTTAAATGATGCAGGCCACAGCAAGCACCACTGAGCAGAAGTTCAGCACCTAAAACATACTATGGCAAGGTCATTATAGACTCTACAACTTTGGTTTTGCTTATCACATATCGCCCTTAAGGAATTAAGAGTTATCAGATTGGAGAGGAAACTCTTTTCACATGTATAGAGTTATTTTTCCCTTGCGTGATTGTATTAAATATTTTTGTTAGATTGGGTGTATGAAGAACTATTTATGATAAGTTTTCAGATTCTGAGTGTTTTGAAATTTCTCATCTTTAGATTGGGTGTAAAGTTTATTTTCAGCTGTAGATAGTTTGTATTATTAGAAATCATATATGCACAGATAGAAAGTAATTGACGTAACCCTCCCAATCACTAAATAAGTGGTTGAGAATGTTTTGGTATGTGTTTACAGCAATAGATGAGAAAATCTCAACTGCTCATATGGAGCACCAAACACCTCTAATTTCTTTGAGATACTTTTTGCCTTTTTGAATAAGAAAAGGTCCAAGTACGACCACAAAAGTTAATCAGTCGGTTGAAACTTGAAACACTAGATGGGCTGATTCAACATGATAACATCTGGCTCCAAAATTCCCATAAAGATATTTCAGAATGAAAATGAGCTGAGGATTATTCAGCAAAGGATAGTTTATTCTATGGTTTCTCATTACTGATTTTGACTTCCTTGGCCAACATCACGAGTGTTTTACTTAGACAAACCTTGTTAATAAAGAATCGGATACACATTGGAGACTTTGAGCTATTTGGCTTCTCTAGAAACACTTATTGGAAAAGAAAATGAGTAAAAAAAGTGAAATTAGTTTGTTCATAAGTTAAGATTAGTTTATACATAAGTAAAACAGGAGTTTTTGAGGAAATTACCATGAATTTTTTTTAAAAATTATATAATGAGTAAATTAATTTTAACTTGTGAAGAAATTTATTTTATTTTTTCTTCATATTTTCTTTTTATAAACTAATTTCTTATTTTATAAGAAATTAGTTTATGTATAAGTTAAAAAAGATTTTTAAAAATGAGAAAATTTCAACAAAATAATTTGCAACATAAGTTAATTTTAACTCAGAAATTTTTTATTTTCATAACAAGAATGAGATAACATCTTTTCCTAATCACACCACATAGCAACATATTTGGTAGTTTAACACAATTTATGTCCTTTTCGACCTCTACTGTGCCCTGTCTTCCACTTGAAGCACTAGGAGTAAGCAAAAATCATAGTTAGTGAACGACATGGACATGTCTTCTTACATTTCGAAGCCTGGCCCTTTGATGTTGGCCAATGTTCTCCAACAGTCTTGTTTATGTCAGTCATACCGTTATCAGCACTCCAGAGCAAATTTTGGTTCCAATCATTTTTTAAATGTCATGTTCAATTGAAAACTGTGAGACTATAAAACTAAGTTTAAATGATATTTGGCTGTAACTGTCTCGATTGAACTAGGAGTCATTGGCTGAGAATTAAGCTAGAGAAGTTTATGAATGTCTTAATTGAGGACTTGATTTAACCAAAGATGAAAACAATGTGAATAATTTCAACCATTTATTTAGAGAGAGTTTCTTATGAATCCTTGTTGGTCCTTTCCATAACTTGCTACTAAAGCATCAATAATTGGCTGTCTTTGTCACTCTGGACAATGTTGTTTATACATTGAAGTTTCTCATTTAACACTTTTCACCATTATCTGTTTTTTTTTTTCCTCCACGTTCTTGTATTCATCACTATCAACTTTGCACATTCTCCTTTATCTGTTTAACCAATTTCAACTTGTTGAGTAAGAGAAGAATCAATTCCTTTACCAAATAGTTATCATGCATGAGAAACCCTTCTTGACATTCAATCAAGCCTTGTGGGGTAGAGTGTGCACTTCACTCACCATCTTGCTCGGAGTGACTCTTTTACTAGTAGAGCAATGGACCACAATGGTATATTCTTCTTTTGATTCTGCATTATTTCATAACATTATGCAACTGTTTTCTTCTTCAGATGGACCAAAACAAACATGGATATTTCTATCATGGAGCCCAACTGAATAAAAATTAAAGGGTAAATCCAATCTTATTTATTCGTGGGTTTATCTGTATTCCCAAATGACAAAACCAAGTTATACGCTATCCTGACGCTGCATTATTTGCATCAACGTTATTTCTTCTTCAGCTGGTCCATGACCATAGGCATATTTATATCATGGAGCCCAATTGAATCAAAAGACAGGTTGCCATCCCAATCCATTTTAATCTTTCTATTCTATCACTATTCTAAATTGACAAAACATTGTTTCCAATGGCAAATTCAATCGCGGCCCATTTTTCAATTCTCATGGAGTTCATATATCCTGCAAAATAGTTGCTTTACATTTCCTGACAGTGCTATTTGGCATTATGAAAAGCCTACAAAAATTGTTACAATACTTCATAGCTAATCATTGGTTGAAGGAGGAAAATTTTTGAAAAAAAGTAAATGGGGCCCGTTCGGGTGGTTGTGACTTCCTGCTCTCGATCTAAAACACAAATTTGAAATCAAAACGTTCGATCATTGGGTCAAGAAGATCGATTACTTTGAATAAATTTTAATTTAGTTTTTCTTCACTTAATTATAAAACAAGAATAAAAATAAGTTTACTAAATTCTATTTGAAGTTTCACGCTAACCCCACTAACTATTGTTACATTTCTGCTTCAACATCTTTTACCTTCTCCGCATTGTTTTGTTGGTGGAACTTATGCATGTTGCACCATCACTCTTACTCGTGGGTGGAATCTATTTGTGTTTCTAATAAACTTGAACTTGATATTTGGGAGAGGATGAGTACAAGTTAGATTGTAGGGTGCTACTAGCGAAGTAAATGGACAAGATAGTGGAAATAATACGAAATTGATTACTTGTTTAAGCATCTTGGCAAACTTGAAGCCATTAGTGCTGCTCCTTTTACAAAGGCAATAAAGACATTGAAAGAAGACATGGAGAAATGTGTTTTTGCCTTTTTGGCATTATATGATGAACAAAAGAATGATACCTATTGAATGGCTCAAGGATTATGGAATGTAACACAGTAATTAAATTGTAGTAAATTCTTATTTCCATGACATTTTAAAATATTTAAACCTATGCACTTTTCTCTTTTATGTGTATATATGATATTTTTCAATGTTATTAGTGTTTATTCATGTGTAATTGTTGGTGTCATTTTTTTTTAATTTAATTTTATTGAGGAAATTTATATTCTTTCAAAATATTTTTATATTTTTTTTTATTTTTTGGCATGTTTAATTATTATTTTTATTTATAATTACTTTTATGTGTCAATATGTTTTTATATTATATGATTTTATAAAGGAGCGAGATATGATAGAACAATTGGCTTTTTGAATTCATCTTCAATTTGCGACAACTTTTTAAAAGCTAAAAAATAAATTGAAATTGAAAACTCAGAACTGATTTAAGTTTTCAAAATTTTCGAAACTATATAAAATCGAAAAACCACTCCAAACTTGACTGAGTAATTGACAAAACTAGGCAAAACTTTTTTGGTTTTCAATTTTCTCTTTTATAAAGTTACTTCACAAAAAATCATGTTTATTTATTTACAAATGATTATAAAAAAAAAAGTACTGTATGGGCACATTAAGTCTTCTAGTAGTCCAAAGGCCGAACGAGAGCTCCGATCCAATGCGCTGGTGAAGGGGTTGGTACCTGCAAAAGGTACTCCAACGCTCAAGTCAGGACAAACTCGAATATCTAGGATAATTAATGAACAGTGACGTTACCTTTTGTCCTGAGCTATTTATACTGACATTTATGGGCCCTGGACCCCATGGGCCCTGTGACATATTTACCGTATTAGGTAATACACCTTAATCGACTAATTAACCTCTAATCTTTGATTAAGAGTACCAAATGATGGTAGGCCAATCCTGGTGGCCGATTGGTATTCGGCTTCCTGGTTCCGCCATTCGGCGGTCGATGGGGTGGTGGCCGAACCCCCCTACCTGTACAAGTACTAAACATGTAAGAAAGTTGTGCCACTGGCATCTGCTTGCATCAAGTCTTGAAGAGCCTCATGGGGATGTCCATTGTAACCAACCTCTCCGAAGAAGATGAAAATCCGCACTATCGTTACGAAAAATCATTTATACCATTCGAAATTTAATACTTCTCTTGTATTTTCAAAGATGATAGTATACCATGGCATACTTTCTTCCGACTAAAATATAAGAATAAAAAATGTTTACACTAATTATGAAAAATAGTTAATTATAATTTAATTTTATTAATCTCATTTAAAAATATTTATTCTTAAATTATTTTTCATTGAAATTTGACACCAAGAATAAAAAAAATCATTGGAAATAAAATATCAATTAAATATAAGATATTTTAAAGATTGTATCATTAAATTAAGTGAAACTTTACCAAAAAAAAATTATGTGAAATTAGTTAAGATTTATTTGTATTTTAATCTATCACACACATTTATTTATTTGCTTATATTTTTATCTGGATAGACTATGTTAATATAAAAAATGAAACATTTTAAAAAAATACTTTATTCCAATATAAACTTCTCAACACTAGGTCAAGAAATGGAACTTTTGTGACCTTGATTATCCTCTGTATGATCTTTGATGTATCTTCATGTCCATGTAAGGGTCAAATTATTTATAAGAACTCTATTAAAATTGATGTATGTGATGACAATGGTGGGGGTGTAGCTTCGTATAAGAACTCTATTAAAGTTAATGCATGCAAGGACATTGGCAAATCTACATTTAAGTGAGGATGCAAATGCAGTTTCATTTCGAGAAAATTATAATTATATATGTAGAATTTCGGTATTTTATCTCTATTTTTATATGTTTAAATTCAATGTTCTCCATTTGTCACTCTAGTCAAATTGTCTTTTACTTGCTTTTTTTTAACACTTCATTCTATTTTTAGCTGTATGAATATTGTTCAATTTATTTAGTTGAACAATTCCTTTTTATCTTACATTTTATTTCATTTCATAATAATAATAATAATAATAATAATAATAATAATAATAATTTTATTTTTAAAATAAACTGCTCCCACTAAACCATGATTGCGCCATTATGTAAGGATCAAGATGTTTATAACTAATAATAAGATTTTTTTCCTTTTATTCTTGATATTTTTTTTATCTCATCGGTAATGTTTAGTGTTTAATGTTTATCTCTTGTATCCGTGGATAATGCGTATTTTTTAGACTTTTAGGATTTTTTATGGGATATGCTTTGATTTTTCTCTCTTGCATGCACCTAATTTCTTTGACTAAATTGTAGTTTTGATTTTTTCTTTTTGTTAATTTACAATTTTGATCCTATCTTTAGTCTCCTAATTTTTAATGATTGCACCACCAATGTGGGGGCTTGAAGTTGCTAATGTTTTATATTATTGTTTACATGTGAATGTGACAAAACAATTTTTTTTAAGGCAACAAGATACTACACTCACATCCATTATAATCAGTGTAGGAATATGCAAAAGCCTCTTTGAGAAAACTTTTTATTAACACATACTTCATAAATAATGTTTAATTTTTATTTTTAATGTCATGGAATAAATATTATTCAAACAATTAGACATCCAGTCTGCAATCGCATCGTCCCAGTTCCAAGAATGAAGCTCTACCAAAGGAGTTATATTTCCTGGTTTTTCTTTTGATATTTCATAGTATATTATATTTTAAAAAATATTTATATAAATTTAATCGTTTTAATCGTAGTTCACTCATGATTAGAACATTGAACCTTAAACAGGAATATACCCACATCTTCTATACCATGCCAAATAGGGAAAAAGATATAGCACGGGGTTTTACTTGGAATTCTCACAATAGAATATTTAGTGGGGGAGACAAGAAAACATAGTAGAACTAGAAATGTTTAAAAAATAAGGGAAACAGAATATTCACATTCTTTGCTCCACTAATTGTCAGATTTTCTACATTGCTTACTCGTCACCCATGGCCAACTCCAAGGCATAGTCATCTCTTTCCTGTAAACAATTTTCGGGTTAAAAGTCGCATAATAAAAAACAATAACCATCTCATTCCCAAAAAAAAATAATAAAAAGTTACAAACAGAACTTACCACTGGTCCTCGAGCAAAATAACGTCCAAATTGAAGCCAATATACCTGTATGTGCCAAGGATTTATTATATTCATAAACAATATTCAGTAACAAATGTCAGCCAGTTTCCCAACGACGACCGCAACAAATTTTTTTTTTTTGACAATTTTATATAAAAAAAAATGACAAAACTTCACAAATGACAACATGGTTATCAAGAATTAAATAAATACAACGATGACAACAAACAACAATTTCTTATCTTACAAACCTCACAGACGAATATGATAATAAAAATAAAGACAATTTTATTTGGCCTCAAAAGCACTTTACAAGAAAAAATTTCACAGTATATGATTGGTTGAGATTACGAAAGAGAATTAAAAAAAATACATTAGGATACCAGATTGATAGTGGGTATTGCGATGGGATACAAAATATTAACCCAAAAGTTCTAGTTATTATGCTAATAATTAGGTGAGTTCCCAGAGAATACAAGACTCTAGTAATACAGCAAGATTACTAACACTAAATAAACATGAAATACAAAAAAAAAAAAAAAAAAAAAAAAAAAAAAAAAAAAAAAAAAATCTAAAATTGCTTTGATTAATTTGATTTCACAATATATTTTGAAGATCATTTGAGATATTCTAATATTTCCAAAGATACAATCAAGATATGATGAAATATTTCGTTGATATTATAAGTTCTAACACTCCCACAAAGTTTAAGCTTATTGCAATAAACACTTTTAAAAGAAAATGACAAAAATATAAACCAGGCTCAACAAAACAGATGGAAAACAACTAAATGGATGATAAAGGTGCAAAAGAGAGGAAACTACTAGAAAGATAACTCAGCAAGACAGATAACATGATCGTCAACCTGAAGAATTTATTAGTATATTATATACCAAGGAACAAAAGACTTCTCTGAAAAGAGGATCAGCATCAATTTACTAGTTACATTGCAATAGGTACTACGAAGCTACAGCATATACAGGTTTGGTAATCTTTAGCAATGATTTTAGGACCCAATTATGGTACCTAAATATCAGGATAGGGTCTCTTTATGATGCAGTAAATAAAAATAAACAACCTTGCTAAATCCTAAAAGGGAGAAATGAAGCTAATTTGCTCTAATCATTTGACCAGAAACAACAATAACCTTCACAAGCAATCATACACAACAAGAAATAAAGCTTCTCCAAGTTCAAGCATAGTATTTGGAAGCTTAAGACTGCAAGAAAATTTAGGAGACTCGATAAATTTGGAAATTAAATCCAGGAATTGAGTGAGTCAACCAACATTAAGTCACCATGGGATGATTGCCAATGGGTAAGAAGGCACCATTGGTATGATTCACTGAAATGATGGTCAATGGAAAGATAATGACCTAACAAACACCCGCATTGAGGTATAAATTTGGCACATATCATTATTCTCACTCTCTCCTTTGATGATATGCCAAGATTAGAAAACCAACAATAATACCATAGAAAGGAAGAACTTCAGCAAAGACGATGATTTAATTTAAGCATACTGAGAAGGAAATAAAAGGAAAAAGCTTGCCAGAAAGTGAAACATGGTGAACCAATAGCGGGTAGAAGGAACCCAAAAAAAGGAAAACCCCTTGATTCTTGTAATTTGTCACAACCAAAAAATAGAAAATAGACAGATATAGAAATCTTCGGAGTGGATTTCAGATTTAAAGAACATGACAATGAGAAAATGACAGGACTAACCGACTAGGACACAAAGGATGATTGTACTAACTTGATACCATGCCATAATTATAGTATTATGGAGGGTATAGATACTTCTTTAGATTGATATGGCGTATTACAATGTGATACAAAATACCAACTCAAAGGCCATTTTCATACAAATAATTCCATCGAGTACTAGTGAGTACAAGCTCTAGTCCGTTGATAAAACAAAACTATAACACTAAATAAATTGGGGAAAATCAGGAAATATAATGAAATCAGGCAATAACTTCTAAGATTGCTTACTCATCTAGATGACATTGATTCCATGATTTATTCTATAAATCACATAAAAAGTATTAAAAAATATTAAAGATATGGTAAAGATATTTTGTAGATATTCTAGCAATATCAAAATAAAAAAACATTTCCTTAAAGTTGATCTGATTGGCATCCATTAGTATCAAACTAAGATTGTAATTTTGCTCATTACCTCATCTTCATCTTGAGTTTCCACTTCAACATCAGAGGTTGGGAAGCCCACACAAAGAAGTGCATAACCCTGAAATGCAATAAAAATTTCACACACTTGTCCAACTCAGCAATAAAAGAGTGAAAATTTTAATAACAACAAGATGATGATGACAATGATGATAAATACTGTCATTATTATTATATAACATTTTCCCCAAAGTTGTAACTATTTAACTTTTATTTATGGAAAAGGAACAATTATTGCATATGGCACCAAACTAACCATAAGGTGGGAAACATCTTTGTTCCGTTGTATGTATCTAATCTAATTTATTAATTTGTACAAGGGCTCTGGAATTGAGACACTGACCCAGGAAACAAAATGCAAACTATGCATACAATCAGAGCAGGAATAAACTAAAAAAAAAAAATTACAAATAGCTGTACTTTTAAGATTTAAAATAAGCCCTTATTTGAATAAGTAAATCCTTTTCAATTCTCATTGTTCTTTTCATTGCAGGAACAAACCAAAAAGTCATATTTCTATATTTTAGCTTTTCTGAAAACTATAGTGCAAGGTAACCATGGAAGAGGCTAAACATCAGAATACAAATATTTTTGTCCAGGTTAACGTATAGGAAACAGCATCCCATTAATAGAATGTCTGTACATGTACAGTGGTTCATAGTGTTACAGTTGATTTTTATTTCGGTTTTGAATCATAATTACAGCTAATGAAAATAATTAAAGGAAAATAGTAAGTACTAGTTCAGTGCATTGACACTATGACAAAAGACATAACTTTCAATGTCCTTTTATTTGCTAAGAGAATAGGGTAAATTATTGACAGGTAAGACATCAGACTAATGCGTTTGGATTTAGTATCTCAAAACTTGAACAAAGCATATGGTTCTATACCACTAATCCATCCTCATCTACTCTACAGTAACATGCACAAACTTGTTAGAATGGTGCAATATAGAGAGAATTGAGAGAAAACAGAGAAAAATTATTGTTGATAATCTTTCTAGAGAGGTACCAATTGATTGATATTTATAGACTACTATAGTTGGTTAGATATAATACAACCAACTTTAGATACAACAGAATATAAAGACAGCTCTAACTAATAGAATACAGTTTACTCTAACAAAACGAAATTGTTTTACCATGATTCGTGCTCAATATCTTTTGCTCTTAAAACTTCAAATAAAAATGGGAAAAATGCTGATTATTAATATTGAGCATAACACGAGAAAATTGTGCATTGGTACTTAACAAGTCAAAATTACCATTTCAAGCATGTATTTTAAAAAAATCATAAACAAAGAATAAAGATAAGTTATACGTGCCTTCTCTCTCAACTCGGCAGATATCCCAAGTGCCTCTGGTTGCCTAATCTGTCCATCTTTTATACGAACAGCACAGCTAGTACAACAACCTGCAATAAAAGATTCCAAAGAAGCACAATATCAGGAAGCTATCAATGACATTACAGACCCAACATATTTCAATCACGAAGGCAATAAAAGCAGCAGAGAGAACAAGTATCAATAATGCTTTGGAAATCTACAAAGACAAACTTCAGCAATTAAACAATTACCATATCCCAATAAGATGAAAAAAAAAAACTTTACACTAATTTAAACAATCACCTATTTTATCAATATTTTTATAAAACCCAGGACAAAATGGAATCTATCATCAGCAAAGGTCATTAGTAATAAATTAATAATTTAGATGGAGAAACCAGACATGATAGGTTCACAAAATTTTTTTAACGACTTCTAAAAATCTTATGAAGGACTAACATGGGCTTAGAGATCTTGTAGCATCTGATCTAATAGGAACAAACGAAAATAGGAAGTATATCATCTCCCAAGGGTACGACAAAATTCCAACACTATAATTTAGGGTGTATTTGGAAATCAATTCCGTTCAACTGAACTTCAATCCATCCTTAGAGTTCCTTCTACATTTGTGCATTGGAATTTGGAAAATCTCTGTTCAATATGGTCTAAATGGGTTTCCGAGCACACACTTCATATATAGAACTAAAATATAATACAAAATTTAAATACTAACAGCATCCTAATCCTAAAAACAAATTGATAATATCAACAACATTCTAAAAGTTTAAAAACAAATTGATAATATATTTAAATATCAACAACATTTAAAGATTTGAATCATAAATAGAAAGGAAAAATGAAATGAGCTTATTTGGGTAACCTTCTTCAAAAGCACTTCTAAGAAAAAAGTAGAAAGGAAAAATGAAATAAATTTCTTTATAAACTAAAATTAGCTTATACATAAACTAATTTGTAGAAGTTCACCCAATTAGCTTCATCAAAATCTTATTTTTAATTCATATAAGTTAGTTTTAGCTTATGAAAAAGTTTACTTCAATTTTTGTTCTTATTTTTATTTACTAAATGTATAAAGACACATAATAAATTCCAAACATTTTCAAACCAAACATATTTAGGCATAAATTCCACAAATTCCTGCGCAAGAAAATAACAGAAAATTATAAACAAATAGGATAAAAGTAAGTACCATGCCTGCAGGCGAATGGAAGGTTAATATTCTGGGACTCAGCAGTATGTAATATATATTGGTCCTGCATTTCATAAATCACAGTCACATTCACATACAAATAAGGACCAATAATTCATTATCCTATTGAACCACGGAAACCGAAATCGACATGCAATAGTGCTAGAAAAGAGAAAAGGATAAAGTATTAATAGCATGCAGAGGCAAGTTGCAACAGGGAATGAAACTGAAGAGGGTTATGGCATCGAGATCGAGGACAATGGTGGAACGGGAAGGATCATACCTCGGGTACGAGGAACTCGTGAACGATTCCTCGTTGTCTGTCGTGGACTGTGACCTTATGAGTGGGAACACCAACAGACGGAGACTGGTAACCGGTCCGCGCCACCGCCGTTTGGAGCTCCGCCGTGGGCGTGGTGGTTTTGCGGCGGGCGTTGGGTTGGTGGTTGGTAAGGGGAATGGCGGGAATTCGAAGAAGGGGAAGTGCCATATTCTTGTTCTAGCGATGACACAGCACGCACAGACACAGTGAAGGGATAACCGATAACGAGAGCAAGGTGAGGAACAATACGCGCCTTCTCCGCCAACCGTTAGATTCTCTTCCAACCACTCTTCAACACGTGTACGGTTATCAACACTCCTCCATGGACTTCAGTAAACATATTAACATCCAACAAGACTTTTAAATTTGAGACAAGTTTGAAATTTAAAAAAAATATGTTACAAAAAAATAATTTTTTAAGAGATAGGTTTATTATGTTTTTAGTACATGAAAAATGACTAAATGTTGATTTTGATTTCTGTAAAAAAAATTATTTTTTCATTGTTATAAAATTTAAAAACATTATTTTTAATTTATATTATTATATAATTATTTTTATTTATTTTTATTTATTTATTAATTAAAAGTTTAAATGACAATATTAGACCTTATTCATAGTTGTTAGTGATATAAATTAATGTGTGACATTTAAAGTTTTTTTTATAAATTTTTGAAATATATTATTTATTTACCATAAAATTATATTTATGGACCAAAAAATGATGATTTTAAATTTCAAACGAATGAGAATAATAAAAATATATATTTTTTAGAGATTAATATCAAATTTTACTCATTTTACTAAGACAAAAAAATATTATGTAAGGACCAAAACAATATTTATAAATTTTATAAAGATGAAAAAATTATAAAGATCAAACTCAGAACTAACTTATTTCATATAGACTAGAAAGATATTTAAGCTTCCCCTAAAAAAAGATATTTAAACTTAAGAAGTAAATGAAAAAATTTAAACAAATACACTAAAAAATAATTTATTTATTATATTAGAAAAAATACAAAAAGAAATTCAAACAAATAAGATTTTTTTTTACATGTCAACATACAAGTTCTATTCACACTATTTTATTTTTATGTGTAGACACCTAATTTCGTCTCGGGGCACACAAACAAAGAAATGGACCTCCGTTATGAAGGGAAAG